CTGACCACTTGCTGCATGCGTAATGAAAGCGGTACACCAAAAGGCATTCCAACTTAATGTTTCGGATGTGGAGTGGCAAATGCTGCTGTTAGTACTCGTAGTTGAATTTGTGATTAATTTTCGTGTGCTGTCCTTGTGCTACCGCTGGAACTTCTTTCGGTAGAAAGTTTAAAAGAACTTCCCCTGGATATCTGTAACCCTGTACTATCTCTCTCGAGATCAATAGCATTGTCAGATTAGAAACACCAACTTGCCAGGCTAGCATTGCCTCCTCTAAAAACACACAATATTTCTGGATCTGTACCAGTGAGCTCTTCTGAGTTAGCTTAGCCTCAATTTTTCAATTACTCGGGCCTCTGCAAAAGTAATGACCGAAACTGAAGGCAGAAACTGAAGGCAGAAACAGAACAGAAACAGAAACAGTAACACCAACTGGCAAATGGAAAATTTTGTGCTTAATTTCATTTCCGTTTAGGTGCCATTCCGAATGCCATTCCGTTCGAGGCAAGGAAACGAAGGAGAGAAGTCGTCTGTCCTGCGTCCATTCCATACTGCGCAACAATGAAGCTCTTGGGTAACGGTAAATTTCATTTTAAAAGCATTTTCATTTACATTTTGTCCATTTGATTTTGCCATTGAAATTTCGAGAGCGAGAAACTTTTTCTTCGTGCAGCACAGCAGCAGCAGCAGCAGCAGCAGAGGTTGGAATTTTATTGTTTTACCATTATTACAGGTGTGTGCCTGCGCCAGGCGCTGTATGGGTGTATGTGTGCCTGAGTACCCCCAAAACAGTTTTACGACCCAAACGTTGGGCACTGGGCACCGACCGGCACCGGCTTCGAGTGCAGACCGTGATGGAGCCCAACAGCCGGAATGGAGCTGGCCTCACTAATCCGTTTGGATTTTTAGTGGCGGCCAAATTTTAACGACGCATCTTTGGAATTTGTTTAAGAAATCTATAAGGAAGCAACACATTTCGTTATTGCTGCTGCTCCAGGTCCTGTTTAAGCGCCTGTTTCAACTCCTGCCCCATGTTGTGGGCTTCCATGCTCTCCTGCCTTTGTGATGTTTCACATTGTCTGTATGTGGGGCTGCTCCTGGGTGCAGGCATTGTTTGTTTTTCCTTGGCTTCCTCTTGTTTGTTGCCTCCTCCATTGGGTTTTTATGCGCGACGCTGGTTGAACGCTTCGCTGCTTTGATTTGCCTTGCTTAGCCCTGGCCCTCTAACTCCACTGACCCCTCTGACCTTTATCTTGGCCCGGGCCAGCGGACGGTACTCAGGCCAGTTCCTTGGCCAGGCCAGGCCAGGCCAGGACAGAAAAGTGGCAGTGGCTGTGAAAGAGGCAGCCCACTCGTGCGCACTTCGTGCTACAAAGCAACAAATCGAGTTTGCGAATAAATGAAATTACTTTTCGGTCTAATGACCATCATCTGCTGATTTTATTAGATTTGTTTCCTTTTGCTCTGTGTTTGTTTACTGCTTCTGCTGCTGCTGCTGTTCCTCTTCCTCTTCCATCGCCAGCTCCCTTCGCTCCTGTTTTGGTTCTTGTTTCTCGTCATCCTGCTGCTGCTGCTGCTGGTGCTCCTGCATCATTGAGCTGCCTGCAAACCTGACTAACTGGGGAGCAAACTTTAAATGACTTTTGTGCCCAATCGCTGTAAGCAAAATGTTTGATAAGAAGTCGAGTATTCGGGAGTGGTATACCATGTCATATTACAGTGGGAGATCTTTGGGTGAGCAGGTGACTTGGGGGCAACGGTGGTGTCTCGTAAACAGCTCTCAAATGGTTGAGTTATGGCAATTTAGGTTTGCATTTATTTATTTACATCTCAATAGACAAGGTTGAATCATTAATTTGTACTTACATTAAACTGAACGCAAACAGAATGACCGTTTAAAAATAACAGAAACTGCTTGAGCAATCGTAACAACAACAAACTTCGGCTCGAAGATATCAGACCGAAGTTACCAGGCGATCTGTTATGTTAATGATGGTGTCAGCTCTGCCGATCTCTACAGCGCGCTGCTAAACTCATTCTGTGCGCATTAAACATGCTGTTAAATAACATAAAAGTTGCCATTTAACATTTCTGATCGCCTGATACCTTGGGCCGAAAAATTGTGTGGGTTTCTTGTACTTCTGCAGCTTGTTGTTATTTTTGTGATTGGTGGGTTCTGTTGTTATACTGCTGCGCTACCTATATATTTACTATTTTTACTGGCAGACTAAAGCTAATCGCCACAGATCGGCGGCTGTTCGCTCAAGAGAGCTTTCACTGTACCAGAAGCCAATGAAAACATGCCTGCCAAGTTTTCGTTTTGTGCTTGCCATATTTCTCGCTTGCCATTTGAATAAGGATTTTCCCTTCCTCCATTTAGGGGATGCGATGCTCCTTCTCCTGGTTGTGTGGGTTCTTCCTGGCACCTGTTGTTATTGTTTGTAGTGCTGTTCCTGTTCCTCTTGCTGAAGCTGTAGCTGTGTTCCTGCTGTGCTCCCTCGTTTCTTGGGCTTTGCTGCTCGCCCCTTAAGCTGACATTTCATTTTTATGAAACATCTTATTTTTCTAATTTGCAACAGCAGGTGTCGCCATTTTCTGCAATTTTCTGTTTATATGAGAAAAGACCTTCCTACTTTCCCATCTCTTTCTCTCTGCTTTGGGCTGCTTCCCCCCAAAAATCGTTCGCTTTACCCTGCTGTGTGTGTGTGTGTTCCTTGGCTGGAGCGGGTGTAAATTCAGTTTACTGTAAAATTTAATAGAAAGTGAATTTTTTCCCTAGAATATGGGGGGATAAGCACGAGGCCACATTGTGTGTGTGGGGTGTGTGTGTGCGTATGTGCATGTGTGCAAATTGGGGTCTTTTGTTTATAGTGTTTCACATGTTTGCATATAAAGTGAAAATTCTTGTAAAGCATGCTGTAAAAATACGTTTAATAAGCTACAAGACGGCTACCCCTCACGCAGTACTTTGCCGAATGTGTGAGTGTGTTTCGGTTGGTAGATGGTGGGTGGGGTGGGTCTGTGTGAGAAGGGAATCCTTACCGTCCTGACGTCTTTATTAATTCATAAAACGACAAAACGCCAGGTGTCGCTGACGATATGTCTGCGCGCCCAGCGACTCACTGAAGCTGAGGCATTTTTATGCGCTTAAAAGTCAAGCAACGAAATTTTGGAATTTTCTCCCAAATTACCAATAAAAACAATACCAGAGAAAAACAAACAAACGGAGCTACTTGCATATGTATGCAGGGTGAAATTCTCTCGTCGAAAGTGAGGGGTTGCGGGCGGGGTCTGGCAACCTACCTAGTATAATTCGTTATCTCTGGGGCGTATCAAAATCACGCTTGATTTACTTTTTCGAGCCATTTAACAAATAAGCAATAAAATCCGTGCATTTCCTTAGTCCGTGTCCAAGTTTCCCCCTCCCCCACCCAAGCCGCCACATGCTCCACAGCGTATCGTTCTGTTACCCCACGCCCCACCACCCACGGACAGCCTTTTCTGTGTTGTCTTGAGCAAATTGCCGTTTTGTCTTCAAATGAGACGTTTATGTTTTTTAATTTTTTTCTTGTTCTCGGGTAATGGCCAATGTCAATGGGTTCAGCGAAAGGCAATCAGGGCAACAGAATCCTCAGATGAGGGGAATGGCTGTGGAGCTCAGTCAAGAACGAAGAAACTTGAAATGGTATCAATGAGGGAATTGGCAAGAAAATGGAAGAAAATGGGCTACTAATTATAGAGAATATCCAAGTAGGTTTATTTCTATGCGTCAAGCAACCACCGATTTAACATTCATTCACCATGTATTGAATTTAATCCCTAATTAAATCCCTCTAGAGTCCGCAAATAGCCGGGATCTTATGCATTTCCTCTACGCAATCAGCACTTCAAATACCAAATCTGGGCATGAATACAAAAGCAGGTGGAAAGCAGATGAAGGGAAAGCACAAATCCCTAAATTAGCATTAGCTAATCAAGGTAACCAAATGGCAGTCAGGCAGGTTGGTCGGGCAACTGGAGGGCAGGCAGGCGGGAAATCTTTAAACAAATATTAATTTGTGTGCATTTGTGCGTAAGTGCAAGGGTCCGACCGTAGTCAGCCAGAGGCTATTTGTACGAGTATTATGTATAATCAAGAAGTATGCCATTTGACATTCGAAGGCAAAATTAAATTTGACTGCACATCGTTGTAGGTACAGGTACAACCATCCACACGCACAGACCACAACACAAAAAGACAGAGAGAGAGAGCAAACAAGCCACATTTACCAACATTTGCCAACTGCAGTTACGTTGCTTCCAGTCAAATGGGATTCATCGTTCACGTAGTAGACCAGGACCAGGACCCCGGACCAGCAGGAGCACCTGGAGCTGAAGCTGGCAGCGCAACTGTAGCTGTAGCTGCAGCTGAAACCTGGAATCCGAGACCAATTAAATATTGAGAGAAACATTTGCCATTTCGTGCTCCGTTTGTAATTAGCCGTAACGTGCTGCAGGAGCAAAAGATAAATATGTACATATGTACATACTTGCAAGATTGAATGTGCATATGTACGGGAATGTATGGTAAAGTCAGCGTCATAATGCTATTTACCTAATGCCATTGATTGGCATCCCACACCAACTTGACTTCAAAGCAATTTTCGTGTCACTCCCAACCAAAATGTAAATGTTTTATAGTCAACATAATCACATCGAACATCAAAGGACCCAAATCCGCACAGCTGCCAGCACAGGCAGCCGACAATCAATCGAATTGCGGAAAATCAGGCAATATTTATACGAACATATACGAGGGCCGCATTCAATTGGAAATCAAATTTTGATTTGGCAGGTAAGTTGGCTGAAGCGAGCTAAGTTCCAAATTGGAAAGGGGCGGGAAAACCCTACTGCTGTGTGGATGGGAAAACAGTTTCAGTTCATCAATCTATACATAGATGCAGTTAAATTGTGGCAAACGAATACGAGCTACGTTGCATTGGAATCGATAGGAAGGGTGATCCATCCAACAAATGCATTTATTGGGAATAAATATTGATATTGAACAACAATTGATGTTTCAAGTTAAATTATTACAACATGTGTTTGATAAGATTATAGCCAAAATTTAGACTAGAACTGGTAGCAGGCCAGGTAATGAATTGGGAGTGGGGCGTCCGGTCAACCGGCGCTTGAGCGGGTACGGCAGTGGGTTGGGTTGGATCTAACATTGATGTTTAAAGCCAAATTACAACAATGTGTTCTAGAACATGCGATCAAAAAGCTTGGACTAAGACTGGGAGCAGGCAAGCTGGTACAGGAACTGGATGACTGTGCGTGTGGGGCGGCCGGTCATCTGGTTCTTCAGCAAGTAGGGCAGTGGGTTGGTTGTGGTCAGCATGCCTGTGCCACGGTTGTCCAGATGGGCCCAGTCAACGCATGGGACCAGGCTGCGCAGAATGGCGGCGGCCAGGCAGGAGGTGGCCGGTCCACGGCCACAGTTGCTCAGATCGTAGGTGGTGTTCTTGGTGACGATCTGGTGGTAGTACTTGAAGAGCGGGAAGCGCCAGATCCGATCGCCAGTTATGCCGCCAGCCTTGCGGAACTCCTTGTGCACAAAGTCGGACGTAGTCCACAGCCCAGTTGCCCCGCCGCCGAGTCCGTAGTTAACGCCTTGGGCCACCGTACCGATGTCAACGATCATTTTGGGCTTGTGCGTGGCCTGGCCGTAAAGCAGGGGATCGGCCATCACCACAACGGGCGCCTTGCCCACATCCTTGACGCCCATGGTGATGCCGTTCAGCAGGGTCACCACATCGCCGCACTTGACCGCCATGCCGGAGGGCATGTGCTCGCAGAGTGGGATGATCGCCGAGATGTTCATCGGCAGCGAGAGGGCGGAAGCGGCGCGGAGCACGCCCACACACACGGCAGCTCCAGCCAACGCGCCGCGGTACTGGTCCATGCCCGTCTTCTTCTTGAGGCAGAGGCCGCCACTGTTGAAGGTCAAGCCGAGGCCCAGCAGCAGCACGGACTTCTCTTCCGGAGCAGTGCCGCAGTAAGCGCACTCGAGCATCAGGGGCGGCTCGCAGGAACCCTTGGCGATCATCAAGAAGGAGGAGATGCCCATGTCCTCGATCCAGTCCATGGAGCGCACCTCCACAGTAACGCCGCAGGGGCACAGGGCATCGACGGCGGCCTGGGCGAACACGGACGGGGTCATCATGTTCGCTGGCATATCGGAGAGGCGACGGGCCAGATTCTGGGACTCGGCCTTGAACAAGCCACGGGTCCAAGCCTCGCGGTCCCCCTTGCCGTACATGTCCAGCTTGGGTGTCCGTGTGCGGTTCTTCTTCCTCTTGTTCATGTTGAAGCGCCAAACGGCCAAGGAGGCGCCCTCGGCGGCCTGCTCTGGATAGCCCATGCCATCCACATACACCTCGTGCATTCCCTGCAGCTGCAGGGCGCGTGCGCCAGCACCGGCGGCCACACGGACATTCTCCATGCCCATATCCAATTCCTCCTCCTCGTCGAAGGCGGCATCGTAGTCACCGAGACCTACGACGGCAATCGCCTGGAATTCGCCCTCGATGCCGCTAAACAGCAGACCCTTGCCCGGGCTGCCGTCCATGTTACGCTCACGGATCCACTGCACCACCTTACCGCCCACCGAGTCGTCCAGGGTGACGGCACTCTCCGTGATCTTTGCCGGCTTGTCGCTGTCCCTTTTGTAGACGCCGACGACCACGCCCTTGGGCTTCTTGCACTTGGTCGCATACGTTCGAAGGCAGTGCGCGACCACGCGGATGGGTTTTTTGTACGTGAGCAACCGGCTGGCCGAACGCAACAGAAATAGATCGCGAAATGAAGGCATTTTCGAAACGCGTTTTAAATAAACCAAAATTTAAAAACGGAACTAAAAATAAAACGTTGAATTTGGCTAACTAGAAATTTTGTTGGGCGACGCTACAGATTTTACGTGATACGAAAAATTTACAATAAAATTTGTATTTATGTTACGGTATACGTTGTGTTCCGTTCGACAGTCTCTACTGAATAGTTATGCTGGCATCGGCCCCCTATTGAGAAGTCAGAAATCTAAACCAAGAACTGCTAGGATCAGGCATAAAACACATTATGTTTGCTTGTACAGAAAGTTACAGAAATGAAGAGGCTTAGGGAAAGTTGCAGGGAAGTATAGGGGGGGCTGGGGGCTAGGATACAATGGTCCCATTCATTCCATGATGCTTTTGCTTACAATCTCTAAGACAGTCGTTATTAAGCCGTATCTCAAAGATCCACCACCTCCATCATGGTCCTGCTCTGGATTTATAATAAATACCCTTGGCGAGAGCGCATCACTAAAGTACTCGTACATATAATAGTGACAACAAGAAGGAGGAAAAAGGTGGAAAAAAATGTATATGAATTTCAATTAAGTAGTCAACGGGACTGGGCCTGGGCCTGGGACCGGACCGCGCCTGGCCTGGACAAGTGCACAGCGATAATGGCAGCGAATGGAAATAATTAATTTTCCAAACCAGTGGGCCATCGCTAATTAAGCTTAATTTTTGGTGTTGCATAACTAATTAAGGTGGGAACAGCGCAGCCGTAGGAGCAGCGGCAGATACTATGCCAGGATACTGGTATTGGAATAGGAATTATGTAAAATTGCTGCACTTTAATTCCACTTTGTCTGCGGGCAGACAATCTGTAATTGAAAAGTATGCTCTTGCTTATCTTTCGAATTCAATTAAGTGTCGCATAAGCGCTGGAATATGCAAAATCTGTCCAGGGCCACTCCTCTGCTCAGACGAATGTTTGCCTGCTGGCTTTGGGCAAGGTGAACGAAAACTAAATTGGAAATTTGCTTATTTCTCGCCTTTACGCTTGACCTGACCCAAAGGGCAGGCCAAAACACACACACGAACAAACTTTGTTCACATTGTCCACCCACCCCATGCACACAGATGAAAGGATAGGGCCGTTCGTACTGTTAGTTTTGTCCTTCGGCCAGCTTCCTGCTGAATGTTGTAAAATATTTGCCCAAGTTGAATAGTGCAAAGTATTTGATTTAGACTTAACATTTGTCTATGCGCATTCGTCTGGAATTATGCAATGTGTTCGTAGATAAGAACAATTGCAATGAAAATGAAATTATTATGCATTTTCATTTGACTGCTATTTGCCAGGTATTTTGCAGCCTCCCCACTCATCATCCATCAATCAATACATTCATTTAACGTGTGGGGGGTATTATTCTTTATCATTACATTCAATTTTGCGGTAGTCGGAATGCTGATTCAGAATTCAATTTAAGTTATTTCCATCCTCCATCCTCCTTAATATAACCGCCATCAAATAACAGATTCTAATATAATTTTTGATAATTTTTTATTAAAACGTATTTTTGTTACAACTAAACGCTTAAAAACTAAAGATTTTTGTTCGCAAATTACCTTAAGTACATTAATTATGTCTGAATAAATTTGTAGAAGACTAAAAATCAAAAAATTCGTATCTTATTTTGTTTTTGGGGGGCAAGATGGAAGGAAGGAAGGTAAAATGAAAATGTTCACAGGAGTACACATACACATACAATACACAGGCATATAATTCGATGTAATCTTAAGTTTTGTTCAATGCGATTATTACGTTATGTTGTAAGTATTTCATTTATATGTATAAGCTATGGACTGATTCGATTCGATTTGAGTTTAAATATTTTGATGCACATTAGGCGAGTATTGCTTGTGATTTCGAGGCTTACATAGAGATATATAACTATAACTTTTGAATTGTCATCGTATTCGTATTCGCAATTGCAATCTGTGTGTGTACAACTTTTATGTTTAAATATGGTTTACTTTAGATTGTATTTTGTATTGTGATTATTTTGCAATTGGGCAGTTCATAAATTTATCAAAACTTAACATCACATTGCTTCTTCGATTACATTAGAGGTTTGGTTTCCATATGCGTTTGAAAAATTCTGTATCTGTACTAAATCGATCGATTACTATGGTTATACGAGTACATATACGAGAGTACGAGTAATGCTTAAAAATGCTCAATGCTCAATGCTCCGTTTGTGCGTATGCGCGGCAATTGTTTTGTAGCTAACTATGGGCTGTATTTATGTATTTATATGTACTATAATTTATATTAAATGTCTTGTGTAGAGTGTGGGTTTTGCTGACGAAATGCACTCAATGGAAGTTGATACGATTAATACCCGCTATAGTCTAAGCCTAAGTCGAGTGCATTGTAAATGCCTCTGTAAATGCATTAATTATTAGGAAGTGTTTTTTTCATGTTTGTGTTCATTTCTGAATTGAATATATGTCTATGATGATGTGCTGATGATACGGTGAAAGTCCTTGTGTGTTGCAATTGTATGCGTGTGTGCGTGGCATATTATAATCCTCTCCGGCTGCGGCGGCATTCGATTTACTAAAACTGTTTGGACGATATGCTCGATGGCGGCATATTGAGTATGAAACTTTCCTCATGATATCAGACATTGGGCTTGCGGAAGATCTCATTCGGATGCTGATTGCTGCTAAAGTTCTGTCGCGTCGAGCATTGCTATTACGGATAGAACAAGGGTAAAGTAACAATTAGATGTGTGGTTTTGTCATGGATATACATATGTAGGTATATTGATTTTTGATTGCTTCCAATAGGTGAAACGATGGGGTGGACCCTAAGTGATTGCATTTTAATTACATTTCCAATGCATCTCCCACCCAAGAAGGCAATTATCATGCATTTGGGTCACACACCACCGACACCCCGACACCACAGGTGGGGTGGTTTGGTATGTTCGGTGGTGTGTTCGATAATGATAACTTAACTACCTTACACCGTTTTTTTATTTTCCCTTCGTTTTTGTGATTTGACGTCGTTTGGACATGGCCCGAGGGCTATTAAAATAATTGCCACTGAAATCATTTATTATGGCATGTGTCTGCCTCGGACCATAAACCTGTCGCCCCGAGTCCACAACCATGCGGGGGGTGTCTCATTATCACTTACCGCTTGCTTCTTTTCCCAGGACTTCATGGCCGTCTTGTACTTTTCAAACTCGTGACACCAATCCGAGTAGATTTTCTGATAGTCATTGCTCTTGTTCGGCGGAGTGCATCTGTGCCAAACGGCGAGGGGGAAACACAAAAAAATGAGATTATAATGAGCGCATAATTACGAAAATGCCCTCTACTTACCTGTGGGCATCCACTGTGATGTTGTAGCTGCAGAGCAGGGAGCCACCCAAATGGCAGTCGTAGCGTCCGCCATCGGCCTCATTCACTGACACCACAACCAGTCCCCGTTCCGTCGTCTCAATGTACTTTGTGGGTGAATAATGGATCTCATAGCTGCAAATCGTAGAAGTCATCAAGTCAGTAGTCAAAAAAAAAAACCACAATAAATCGAAAGTCTTACCGTCCCTTGTCCTTGGAGTGATGATACCAGGTCACCTGTTCGTTCTTCAGTACCTCGGGGATTTTGACAAAGCATCCCAGATGCACGCTCTGGCCGTAGGTCACCACAATCTTCTTCTTTAGGACACTCGAGTCACAAATGTCGCTCGTCTCATTGGCCACATCCTGTGGGAGGGGGGGATGTCAGATGTCAGAATCACATGTCATTTGATTTCGGGCCACACTCCCCCCGCGACTCACCTGCAGCAGATCCAGCTCGTAGGGACGGCACGTATTGGCCTCCTTGTCCCAGCCGCAGTACGGATCACGGACACACCGGAAGCAATTGTCGTAACGACGATTGCACATGGCCAAATCGATTTGCTTGATGCGGTGATCGGTGCCGATGTAGAGGCTCTTACGTGTCTGACTGATTTCCATCACCTGAATGGCCTCATTGGGGGCCACCTCAAAAATGTCCAGCAGCTTGGAGAGCGACTCCCCGTTCCGGTAATACTGCACGATTTTGTAAATGCGACCCAGATTGGTGCCCACATAGTAAACAATGTATTCCTGGTTGAGTATATCGATTTTAATTCTGCAACAACAAAAAAATACATATTGAACAGGAGTTTTAATCTGGTTGATTACTCCCAAGCTACACCCTTCTATATTGCATGTAAATAGTTCACTTTTTAAGCAGCTTATTTACTTATGAGCTTTTCCTTTATGAGTCCCAAAAGTGGACTCCTCTCCTCGTGTGATTAAGTGATTATTAACTGAAATTTAAACATTCTAAAAAGCGCTTTAAACTTGAATCATCCTTGTGGCTTGTGCTGGCAGGAATGGAAAGTGGAAATAGGCCGAGGTATATAAATATGAAAGTGTTGGCACCTGTTAAACCATTCAACGCTTTCTTTGCTTCACCTTTCACTTTTTGCTAGAACATTTTTCTAATAAAATTTAGAAAATTCTTAAGACATTTAATTTAAGACATAAATTCTCTCTCAAGCATTTCTTTCATAGCAATCGAATGTGAATCGTAATTGTGTCAAAAAGTGTATAATCTATAAGATCTGTTAATTGATAGTATAAATAATGTTTCAGATTCTAAATTCTAAATTTTATTTCTATAAATTTGTTTTAATCAATGGGAAATCGAATTTCTAGCAGCTCTCACATTTCTCGACGACTTATTTTACTCTGAACATCAAACGTTCTGGGGCACATCCCCACCAAAAACTCTGAGGAATATTTGTGGCATTACTCACTTGTCGACGACGAGCTTGGTGAAGACCAAATCCCTTTTATAATAGACAGGATTGTTGTGCTCATGATTTACGGCTTTGTCCATGAGCGGATGGGATCTGATGAAATTCAGTACTGTATCTGGCAGATTTGATGTATCGTTGACGCAAGTACCGGGCCTGGGCTCGGGCACACGTGAATTGAGGACCGGCAGCCATGCGGAATTCGATGAGGATTGCTCCTTAAATTTACCTGTGCGGAAAAAGTGAGCAAAAAAAAAAAAAAAACAATTGTACAAATACATATAGTGGGATATATATATTGGAAGGGGCCGTGGGAGCGCTGCAATTGAAGATTTAAATCTACGACGAGCAAAGGTGTCAGCT